CCATATAAAATTTCTTAATAAAATGATGTAAATTGAGTTGAGAAATTTTTCGTGCAAAAAAATCAACGTTAATGAATTTTTACAGAAAAGACGGGTTAAACCTCTATTTTTTAAGTATCATGCTTGACGCACTTTTAACTATTTACTATGTTAGTTTGGACTATTCGATATGTTCAAGTTTCAATGTAGGTGATTTGTGGATTCGGCTAATGTATGATCATTGAATTTTTAAAATTAGCATTTTATCAAAATTTTCGAAATAGTAGCTTGAAACGGCCTAATTTTACAAGTCGTACCATTTGCTATGATTGACTGTTTTGCACCCCATTAACGACATACAAAACTAGGTCGTGAACATTTTGAAATGGTAGTAAGAATACAATATTTCGACTTTATTTGATGACTCCGAAAATTGAGACAAAAAGAAAGAAAAAAAATGCCCTAAAGTCTAGGGGGTCACTTGACACCCCAGGCCACCCCTCTGTCCGCCCCTATCTGATGGTCTTTATCAACCTTCAAGAGAGGAATACAGGAGGAACTATAACTGTATTGCCATTTTTCATTTTTAATTTGGCCAAATTGTGTCACCGAGTCTGTGGAAAAACTCTTGTATCTTTTACTTTTGAGATAATACTGTTGGGAATGAGTTTTGAGAAAATGATACAGTATGGTGAGTGGTTTTTAGGTCCCAAAGATGGATGGTTTTAGGTATTTAGATTCAATTTTTATCAATGCGGACTTGAGGATGATCTAATGTATATGATTAGATATGGTAGGATGAAATGAAGAAAGTGTTAATTGCATTTCTATGCGATAAGAAGTTTCTATAAGGAAAGAAGGCAAGTTATACACAATTCTTAATAGACCAACTATGCTCTACAATATTTAGAGTCAGGCTGTAAAAGGACAAATGTCCATAAACGAAAATGAAGATGTTAGGTTGCACGTGTGGCTGATGACAAATGAGAATATAGAATATATGCTAACATCTGGAGGTGACAATGATTGAGGATAAATTAAGGAAATGATGACTAGGTTAGGAGAGCTTGTCTTCTTTAGACACGAAGAAGTTTCTATACGCAGAGTAATGTGATTGCACTAGAATGTGTTTGAAGAGTGAGAGGTAGGCTGAAATTGGTGTGTGCTGATGTGATTGTGAAGGTTTGATTTCACTGGATGTCTGTTACATGTGTCTGACAAGATGTAACTATGGATCAAACTGAGGGGGAAAAAGGATTTATGTGGCCAACCCAAGTTTATTAGAATGAAGGCATTGTTGTTTATTGTTGTTTTATGACTATTGTTACATGGCGAAATAAGATCAACAGGTCTGATTTGGTTCTTAGGATCATGATAATACGAAGTCGTGTGCGGCCTTCATTCTACTTAATCATCCTGTTAATCAAATAGATAAATATAAATTTGTGCTTGAAAGGCATATAAGTATATGCATACTGGATTTTTCTTGATGCTCAGTACTATCAGAGTTTACAATGACTTGCAATTTTGGTTTTTCCCTTGAAATCTCTCTTTTAGATTGCAGCCTGCGAAATTCTTGAATTATCTTGTCCTGGGTTAGTTGGATGCTTTTTGATACAAAGCTTTTTCTTTGAAAGTTGCTCTACATCAGCATTGTATTCTTTCAATCAACCACATTGCCGTACAATCTATCTCCACATCCCCCAAACCCCAAAGAAGTTAATCCAGAGAATTTAAATTTTCAGGTGGAAAGTATAGTTCTGAGCATCATTTCGATGCTTTCAAGCCCTAATGACGAGTCTCCTGCAAATGTGGAAGCTGCGGTTAGTGTCAATGCATCTGATACCTCTGATTATTTTAAGCACTCAATTTAGTAGTCACTTTATCATGATGTGCTTATTTCTCTTAGGAATTTTATCCTCTTTTCTTTCCTTTCGTCTTTCAGTTGCTATTTTGCTGTGTGTTTTCTTAGATTTTTTTTACTTAAAATAGGATCTTTAAAGCTTTATATAAAGGAGCTTATTCATTTTAATAAAGATAACTTTGATATGAAATAAATTTGATACTCTCCTACTTAAATTCTCTTTATTTCCTCTATTTTGTTCTCTCCTCCTCCCTCTCCTTCTCTTTCTCCTCTCTCTTCCTCTTTCTTTCTCAAACTTGTTTTTGTTCATTGCGTTCTACGTCATAGGATCTCGAAGAACCTAGTGTGTAATTTAGTAGAAAAAGTTTCCCTCCGAACAATTGGATTTGTGTGTCATTGTTAATGGAATTGCTTTGGATATATGAAAAGCATGTTTGGGACGTGTTTATATTTTTTTTTAATTTTATTTTTTATAAATAGATAGAAATGGAATGTGGATAAGTTTGTTGTACTTGTAGGTCTCTTGAAATGTATGGATAAAAAGTGATTTGAGCATTTATAAATTGTTTATAAACATGAGCCAGACATAGGCAAATTATCAAATTCTCTCATTACAATCTTGGATACATTTTGGGTTCTATTTTGACTTGAACCAAGTTCATCTCATTTTAGTTTCTCTTAAACAAACAAAGTCCTCAATGGAGTTTTTGGTACGAAGAATTAGATAATACTAGTCATTATCAAAGGAAGAAAAATCAGCCGGAGTATTGTTTATCATAATATCTAATTTTATTACCAAACGTGGATAGAAGTCATAAACTATACCCATCTTCAGGAGCTTCCCTCCACCCTTTTTTCCTTTTTACATTTTTCAGGTTTTCTAAGTTGACCGCTGATTCTTCTCTCCTTAATAATGCAGAAAGAATGGAGAGAACAAAGGGACGAATTCAAGAAAAAAGTGAGTCGTTGTGTAAGACGATCACAAGAAATGTTGTAAACTTGTTCCTCAATGCAGCTTCAAAGTTATTTTGCATGGACACAATGTAAAATTCAAGAAATGGTTGCCTTATGATTGCCCTTTTGGTTTTGCATATTTTATTAACTTGAAAACATGGCCAATGATCAATGATATTCACTTGATAAGTTATCTTTCTTCCTGCTAGTTTCTAGTTTTGCTGTACTTTGAACTACGCAATCAACTGTTGACATTATAATCTTTACCTTCTCGTCCAAGATATTGCTGCATGGTCCATGTAGCTGGTCTGAATTTTCAGTAACCTGTGTGCTTGGTGAATTATTGACCACTAGTTTGTTTATATATTGTCGACTATGTATTTGAATTCTCTTGTACGCAGTTCGAGGGCTGTCAGGCGAACTAAATTCACCTACTCAACTTTGTGCCTTTGTTGAGTTCAGGAGATTTTCAAACAACACGTTGTTTAATCAAAATCAATAATTTGATCGAATAGCAGTTGCAGTGGCTCCATGAAAAGCTAGTCTGCAGACCTTGTCATAAAACGAAACTCGTAATTAAACCAGGCTCGGCTACGAGATTTTGGAGGTTTTATACCAAAGTTCATATGAGCGTTTTATGAATAGTTGAGAAAAAATTATATGTAGTGATTAAAAAATAAAATGTTTTAATACATAAATATATTCAAAGTTACATTAATAGTTCAAGACATGCAAATTTGTTACATTTGACAGACAGCTGCATTAATCGTGTTTTTATTGGGAAAAAAAGTTGTATACCTTTCGTTTCATAAAGATAAACTTGCTTCTTCTTTTTTTTTTGGGTTATTTCAATATAAGCCACTTTCTTTATTGAAAGTATAATCGATTCTTTTAATTTTCTAATATGTCCTTATAATGTACTTTGTTATCAACAAAAATGAATTATTTCTATTTAAATCATTATTTAATGTAGGGATATATTAGAAAAATGTTAGAAAATTTATATCTTGAATTATATTAATTACAACCTCTTAAATTTTTGGGACGAAAGAAATAAAAGTAAGTTCATATGCGAAAATGAAAGTAAGTCCATTTTTTGGGACGAAAGGAATAACTTATTTTATGAGTTAAAAAAATTACTTTGGTTATTAATGTTTGGAGCCTTACTCAGATATTTTGTTAGGGGCCTCTCATATGTTTGGAGCCCTAGAAAGCAGCCTATGCTAAGTCCAACCACAATAATGCAAGATTAATGAGATGCATTATGCATACAAGTCTTGGGGTTTAAGCAGTTCAAAGGTCTTTCGTTATTTGTTGCAATGTGTAAGTTCTCCTTTTTGTGTTGGAGATTTGAGGTTTATATAGCTTAGGGTTTTAAAACCCTATCCCATCGATATAGTAATTCATTACGATGAAAAAAAAGTGTTTACGAGAGAAACCTGCACTCCCTTTTTCTGGTCTTTCTTTCTCTATTTTTGATGATAATAATAAAGTTTCGGGACAGCTCCCTATTTATAAGATAAATTACGACAAAACTGAAGCATACAAGGACTCCAACCTTAATTAGGATCGACAATAATTAGACTCGCCTTCTTTTTACACTTTTCTTGTTGTGAATGTATTTTCTAACCTTGCAAGGAAATTCCCTATGCCTTATGTTATAGGTATCATCGAAGAAACAAGAAGGAAGTGCATATAGAGGAGTAATTTTAATTATAACAATTTGGTATCGTCCGTTGGAGCTCGAAATAGGATGGCATGTAGAAGAGAAGAAACTAAAGTGCTCACCCCATTTTTTCCTTTTCCTCTCTTTCCATATTACCTTAGCATCAAAGAGACTCGAAAACTTTCATCTTTCATTGCGTATGTATTGGTAGTTAAAAAGTTGCAGGTCCGATGAAATATGTGGTTAAAATTAATAAAAGTTGATGAAATGTGTAGTTAAAAAGTTGCAGGTCTAATGAAATATGTGGTTAAAATTAATTATTAACTTTGACTTAAATTAAAATTAAAATTTTAATTCATACCATACCAAGCAAGGCTTAGTGTGTTAAATTGAACATGATGTCCGTAAAGGAATGGAAAAAGAGTGCATGATCGAACTTTATATATCCCGTCCAACATATGAAACATAACCCTTAAATCATCTTCTCAACTATAAAAACAATAATCAATTTACAATCATATTAATGGAAAACATATGTAAAAAACCAGTTCTTATAAATTATAAAACGAATGAACAAATCCACATCTAATTAAGTAATAACAAAATTCTGCCAAAAAATTAAAAAAAATAAAAGGAAGAACAAATGGCTGAGGATCAAGATTGGATAAATATATACATGTATATCCTGCATGATTCAAAATCAGATAAAACAATGAACTGCAGGAATCATTTTGCCAAACAGAAGAAATTTATTCTCCGATGGAGTCAAATTCAAATCCAAACACAAAACTCTCCTGCTATTTGATCTCTTCACAATAGGATGAGGATGTGGAGGAGACAAAGACAAGGTCGGCAGCGGCAGCGGCGGCTGTTGGTTGTTTTCGTTAACGGCCGCCGTTCTGTGTCGCCTCATGTGCCCTCCAAGTGCCTGTCCTATAGCGAATTCCAACCCACAAACCGGGCACTCATGCGTTTTGGGCTTTGCCGGAGATGTCCGCAACTCGCCGGAATGTTGTTCTCCCATCAGCCTCGGCTTCTTGTGGCTGGCCCGGTGGCCACCCAGCGCCTGGAACGACGGGAACTGCCTGTTACATGTCTTGCACTCGAAAACACGAGCAGCAGAACTGTCGACGGTTGAATCAAACGCGCCGCCGCTGCCGCCATTAGAGAGTAGCATCAAGGAAATCGCCATGCTTTTCATGTTCTGATCAGCTTCTTCTTCTCTACTCCTCTTCATCGTCATTTGCAAATCCAACACCATGAGTTCTTGTAGGTATAATCTAGGTATAGGATGTATGTATAAGAATGCAATAAGAATTGAGAAAGAGTCTGAAAGGTGATATGTGTATATATAGGTAGTTGTTTACAGGTGAGAAGATGTGCTTCAGTAGTTGTACAGTTTGACTTTGTTTAGTTGACCATTCGCAATGACGAAATGTACTACATATTACTCGCTGGAAAAATATCACATAGATAGAGTATATCCGTCACCAATGACGTAAGCAAACGAATTACTGAGCGGGCGAGTCGTGAGTGGCGAGCCACGGCGTGTCAAACACAATGAAAGTTCCATCTTTCTAGAATACTTCTTGCGTTCTTGTAAGGTTGGTGACGAGTGCGACTCGGTGCCCGCGTTGAAAAAACGGCATTATTCATTTTCTTGCCACGCAAGTTACGCTGAGTTAGGCTGAGTTGGTGTGTGAATTGGGCGAGTTCCTATGTTGCTTCCTGGCCATACGGTAGTAAGAATTTATGTACTTGACGCGTACGTTACATTAGGAATATTTTATTGTTTCACACTACGAATTCACTCCGAACTAACTTCTGGAAAGAAATATTAAAAAATCGTCTCAACTTTTTAAAATTTATTTATTTTTAATTATATATTATATGAGAGTTATAACTTTTATCAATTGTTTAATTATATATTTTTTTAACTTTTATTAAAATCTACTATAAATTTTTAACCTTCGATCTACCTTCGATGAATGGCTAATGAGGAAGAGATATACATGTCAATTAATTGAGGAATCCGAATTAATCTCAATGTATGTTGATTCAGATTTTTTCTTAACTCCACAATTGTAAAATAGTACAGGAAAAATAATACTTAACCTTGCACTCAATAAAAAATGAGGCAATTGACGAGAATTAGAATTAGAGGTGGAGCCAGAAATTTAGGTTGACGTGGGTTAAAATTATATTGGGATGAAATAATGTGTTAAAAAAAATAATATATATTTTATTTCTCCCTCATAATATTTTTTTTCTTTTTTTTTAACTTTTATTAAAATCTACTATAAATTTTTAACCTTCGATCTACCTTCGATGAATGGCTAATGAGGAAGAGATATACATGTCAATTAATTGAGGAATCCGAATTAATCTCAATGTATGTTGATTCAGATTTTTTCTGAACTCCACAATTGTAAAATAGTACAGGAAAAATAATACTTAACCTTGCACTCAATAAAAAATGAGGCAATTGACGAGAATTAGAATTAGAGGTGGAGCCAGAAATTTAGGTTGAGGTGGGTTAAAATTATATTGGGATGAAATAATGTGTTAAAAAAAATAATATATATTTTATTTCTCCCTCATAATATTTTTTTTCTACATTTTGCGTTGGACTCAGTTCATTGAAAAAATAAATATTTTCATTTTTAAACAAAAAATTGAGATGAGATCAACATTATTATTGAGACTATTACGCCTGTTTGATTGTTGGAAATTTTCCATGGAAAATGGAAAATTAAACTCATTTTTCATCTTTTGGCTGTTTGATACTCTCTCTTTTTTTTTTTTTTTCCAAGGAATTCATTTTTTTGGTTGTCTCGGAAAGCGGCAATTTTTCAAATTTTCCTGAAATTCAAATTCTCATAATATGAATTCTCACCAATATATGGTGAGAATTTGAATTCTAGGACACTGTAGCGATTTTTTTTTTTCAAATTTTTTTTTTTGTTGTGTTGCCAATGGAAATAAATTTTAAGAATTATTATAAAAAAAATTTCCCTTTAATTTACAATTTTTATGTAAAATAAGGTCAAACGAACGCGAAAAGATAGATGAGTTTCTTGAATTTTTTTCGTTGGCTATGAAAACAAATTCCATCCCCAATACCAGTAAATTCCATCCCTTTAATTGACAATTTTCATATAAAACAAAGTCAAACGAATACCAAAACATATTTTTATTTCAACGTTTTCTAGGTAATTTGATTCCTTTCAATTCCTTGAAAAATTATACCAATCAAATATAATGATTTACAATTCCTGAAAAATAATTTCTAGGTAATTCATTTCCTTGAAATTCTTTTTTTCATTCAAATTTTATCCTTGCAATCAAGCAAACCATTACTTACTTTTATCCATATATTTAATGAGACTTAAAGATATTATTCAAATTTATCTATTTATAAATACTTCAAAAAATGCTTCTAGATTTGCTAAAAGGTTTCTCAACTTAAAATATACAATCAAATTCAATTACTCTATTGACAAATATATTGTTAGAAAAAAAAATAAGAAACTATCCAAGTCACTAGACATCTAGAAATTAGAAAAAGCTACATTTCTAGATGTACATCTAGAAATAGAAATTAGAATAGAGAGAAATGCTACCAAAAAAGTTTAAAAAAACATGGTTCAAAATAGGGAAGACACGTGTTGAGCCAGGAATGGATATTTTTTTTTTTTTTTAACCAGCTAAATGCTTTGAACTCAGTCTGTCCAAACTTTCCCATTTTTAACCTTGTTCAACCATCATTTCCTTAGAATCGATACAATTTTATCAAATAGTATGGTAGACCAATTTCCCAACTACTAACATGCTAGTCAATTAGCATGATGTAGTTTAGCGTGTTTATTCAACTCATCTTTGATTCTATAATTAGTTCTTTTTTCGGTAAAAATTATTTCATCGATGACGAGTTCAGCATAGACTTTTATCATATGTATGTAATAATTAAACAAAAAAAAATTGTTTATTAAAACACAATAAAACTTTAAAGATGCATACACGGGTGTTTGATTATGAATAAAAGTTACTTTTCACGAATAAAAAGAAAAAAATGAAGATAGTAGTAGTATCTCCTATTTTCAATTCCATCGATGATCAATTAACAACTGAAACACAAAAAACTTGAACATCGTAAAATCTTATTTACAACATATAAAAATTACAAATTACATGTTTAATTTTCTTGTCTTTTTTTCTTTACGTTAGTCTCTATAAATAATCGATTGATAAAGTTATTTAATTTAAATAAAAACTAAAGACAGTAGTAATTATCTCTTATTTTAATACATATATGTAGATTAACATCAAATACTACAAATTGTGAGTCGACATTTCTTCTTTACTTCTTTGTTGATCATTGTACCAAATAAATAAATATATATTTAATATAAAAGAAAATTGAAGATAGTAGCAATATCTCTTATTTTCCATGTCTACAAACACTACATATTGAACTCTCTTCTTATTTTTTTTCTTTCTTTATTGAGATATATATCAAGTCCATATCTATTCACAACCGACTTACGTTATGATCCTTTTAATTTTACTCATTCCAAGTTTCAAAATCAATTTTTCAACACTTCGTAGAGTCACTATAGATAAAAGATAGACAGAAATATTTAATTTAAACAAAAACGAAAGATAACATTAACAATGTAACATCTCTTTCAAACCTCGATTATGTTGAACAGTTAATATCTAATTTTGTCAAATTTGAAGAGGTGATCAAACATAAATGGCTGTTATATCTCATTACTTTACCTAATAATATTAGACTTCAATGTCCATCAGTTGACATATATGTGATTAAATCAAAGAAGTAAAACCATAATTGAAGTACAATATATATATATATACACAAGCCTCAATTTGTTAAAATGGTCTTCCCATTTATTGATTTATAATTCTTTTCTGGCCGTTGTTAATTTCTTAAAATAAATTTGTCCCATCATCGTAAATGCTTGAGGTTTTGAGCTGAGAATGTTGGGAGATTCAATGTAATCAAATAAACAACATCTTCTATTGTCACCTTTTGAAATTAAACCCAATAAATTTCTCCGATTTTTTCCATGATGGTAATTATGTAAGGGAATTAGTCCTTAATCTTTCATTGAAGTTGTATAGTAAAACTATGATTATGAAACTGTCCAAACTAATGAGATACTTTTTGAAGCATGGGAACCAACTTGCTAGTGAGTCGATATTTAGTATTGTCAAATGTTAAACACTGTAATTGATTTGTTTTTTAAATTCTTCTAAGTAGTGTAGGCAAACATTTTGAACCGATTCAATTCTCCTTAAGTAAGTTGATTAAAGGGTATTGGAATGGAGAATCAACCAAACCTATTTTTTTCTTTCTTTGATTATTAAACCAAGCAAATGATGATTAAATATTTTCTAATTAATAGAAGTGGTAATTACACAAAACCCTATCATTAAAATCCTCAATTCTAAAATCAGGGGACAAGTTTAACATTTCTAAAATCAGAAATTTTATTCTAATTAATATTTTATAAAATAAAAATTTAAACTCACAAAACCTAATTCCTCCTCAATTTCACGCCGTCCCCTCTCCGTCTACATTTCTCCCACAGTTGACATCCCTCCATTCTCTCCTCTCTCTAAATTTCTTCCCCCAGGCTCCAATGGTGCTTCCCTCCACCGGCGGAGACAAGGCTATTGGCTCGCAGCAAGACGAAGTAGAGAGGCTCCTCCACGCGCAACGCAGCAACGAGGCGGTGTTGTTGCAGTGGTCCTCGCTGCATCGTTGCCTCATTTTAATTTTTCGATTCGATCTACTATAGGGTCTACAGTAGCGATGGTGGTTTGTGGATGGTAGAGAGGCTTGGCGAGGTGATGTTGTTGCGGTGGTCTGCGCCGCCTCGCTGCCTCATTGTAGTTTTTCGTTTCGATCTATGTGGTCTGCGGTGGAGGAGAAACAGAGGTGTGTTGGGTGGTGGTGGAGTCCATTGTCAGATTTGGGGATTTTTCTGGTGTGGGTTGTGGTGGTCGTGCGGTGGTGATGGTGACTGCGCCTGTAACTCTCGATTTGTGACTTGCATTGGATGTGTGACCTGAAGGTTTTCTGTTTTGTTACTGATTGCAAGGTTGTGGTGGTGGACAGTGGTGTGGTGATTGCGGGTGGTGGGGTTTGTGATTTGTGACCGTTTTGGGTGGTGGCGGTTGTTGTTTTGGTTGTGGATTGGTGGCGGTGGCAATGGCGTGAGGCTGTGGCGTGTGTGCAACGTCGGTGGGTTGGTGGTGGTGATCTGCACGATTTGGTGGATTGGCGTTGGCAGTGGCTGTGGTGGTCATGGCGGTTTGGTTGATTGTGAAAAATATTGGAAATGTGACTTGAAAAATTGTGTCCGTGACTCATAGTTGGTGATGGTGGTGGCTTATGGTGGTCATGGCGGTTTGATTGACTGTGACTAATAATTGAATTTGTGACTAA